ATGGGAATGATATTCAAGTAAGAATGTTAATTTAGAGTAAACTGGAATTCAGTGGAAACTGGAATTAATAGGAATGGGATTCTATACGAAGCAGGAATTTATTGGAATGGGAATAATGTTAGAATAAGACCTTAGTGGAAACAGGAATTTACTGGGAATGGGAATATAGTGGGAATGGGAATAATTGAGCTTGTATAGTGAGAAATATTCTTTTATGGCATCGATTAGTGCTGTCCGCGGCTTCCTTGTTCTGTCGTTAAGGGTGTAATGGGGTGATGACGTAGAAATGAGGAGAGAATGAGGGAGAAACGATAATAAATGAGGTAGATAAGAACATAAGAAAATAAGGAGTCTGCAATAGGCCGGTTGGCCTGTGCATGGCAGCTCCTGTCGAGAGTTACTACCACTCTCTATCACCCATGAATCTATCCAGCCTCCCTTTGAAACTGTCCAGCGTTCCAGCACTTACTACAAAGTTGCTAAGCTTGTTCCACTCGTCCACCACCCTATTTGTGAACCAGTTCCTTCCTATCTCCCTCCTAAACCTAAACTTATCCAACTTGAATCCGTTGCTCCGAGTCCTATCCTGCTTGGATATTATAAGAACTTATCTATATCCCCTTTATTGATTCCTTTCACCCACTTAAATACTTCTATCATACCTCCCCACCTCTTCGTCTTTCTAGGGAAGGCAAGTTTAGTTTCTTTAACCTATCCTGATATGGAAGGTTTCTAAGTCCCGGAATTATTTTCGTCATTCTTCGCTGCACCGACTCTAGTGTTGTTCTTTGTTGTATATCCCCCCGTTAAGACCTCTCATGTTCCCTCTTTAAGACCTCTCACGATCCCTCTCTTTATTACCTCTCACGTTCTCTCTTGAAGGTCTTTATGTACGTTCCTTCTTTAAGACCACTCACGATCCCTATCTTTAAGACCACTCGTTCTCTCTTGAAGGTCTTTATGTACGTTCCTTCTTTAAGACCACCACGATCCCTATCTTTAGACCACTCACGTTCTCTCTTGAAGGTCTTTATGTACGTTCCTTCTTTAAGACCACTCACGATCCCTCTCTTTATTACCTCTCACGTTCAGTCTTTCAGGTCCAGTAAAATCCTCTCTCGTCCCTCTTGAACCTCCCCTACCTCCTCCTTGAACCTCCTCCTCCTCTTGAGCCTCCCCCACCTCCTCTTGAACCTTTCCCTCCTCCTTTGAACCTCCTCCTCCCTTCCTTTGAACCTCCTCCTCTTGAACCTCCTCCTCCTCCTCTCTGAACCTCCCTCTTGAACCCTCCTTGAACCTCCTTCCCTCCCCCCTGAACCTTCCCCCTCCCTCTTGAACCTCTTGAGCCTCCCTCCCCTTGAGCCTCCTTCCTCTGAGCCTCGAGCCCTCCTCTGAGCCTCCCACCCCTCTTGAGCCTTCTCCTCTGAGCCTCCTCTGATCCCCCTCCCCCTCTCTTCTTGAACGCCTCTTTGCCCTCTCTCAAAATTCTGCACCATACATCACATAACAATTTTGGGGTCAAAGGTCATGGTCAGGGTCAAAGGTAAAGGTAGGGTTCAAAGACAAGGTCAAAGGTCAGGTTCAAATGTCAAGGTCAACGGTCAGGGTCAAAGGTCATGCTCAATATTGTAGTGCCATCAAAGGGAACTTCCTCGAATTTTGCAGCTATTTTTATGGCGCTCCATAAAACACAATAGGGTGTATAGTGGCACCCCTTGTATGTGTGGTGTATAGTGGCACCCCTTGTATGTGTGGTGTATAGTGGCACCCCTTGTATGTGGTGTATAGTGGCACCCCTTGTATGTGTGGTGTATAGTGGCACCCCTTGTATGTGTGGTGTATAGTGGCACCCCTTGTATGTGTGGTGTATAGTGGCACCCCTTGTATGTGTGTGTGGCACCCCTTGTGTGTGTATAGGCACCCCTTGTATGTGGTGTATAGTGGCACCCCTGTATGTGTGGTGATAGTGGCACCTTGTATGTGTGGTATAGTGCACCCCTTGTATGTGGTATAGTGTCACCCCTGTATGTGGTGGTAGTGGCACCTTATGTGTGGTGTATAGTGGCACCTCTTGTATGTGTGGTGTATAGTGGCACCCTGTATGTATGGTGTAGGGCACCCTTGTATGTGTGGTGTGTAGTGGCACCCTTTGTATGTGTGTGGTGTATAGTGGCACCCTTGTATGTATGGTGTATAGTGGCACCCCATGTGTGTATAGTGGCACCTTGTATGTGTGGTGTATAGTGGCACCTTGTATGTATGGTGTATAGTGGCACCCCTTTATGTGTGGTATAGTGGCACCCTTGTATGTGGTGTATAGTGGCACCCCTTATGTGTGGGTGTATAGTGGCACCCCTTGTATGTGTGGGTGTATACACCCTCTTGTATGTGGTGTATAGTGGCACCCCTTGTATGTGTGGTATAGGCACCCTTGTATGTGTGTGGTGTACACCCCTGTATGTGTGGTGTATAGTGGCACCTTGTATGTATGGTGTATAGTGGCACCCTTGTATGTATGGTGTATAGTGGCACCCTTGTATGTGTGGTGTATAGTGGCACCCCTTGTATGTGTGGGTGGCACCCCTGTATGTGGTATAGCACTTGTATGTGGTGGCAGTGGCACTTGTATGTGTGGTATAGTGGCACCTTGTATGTGGTGTAGTGGCACCTATGTGGTAGTGACCTGTATGTATGTGATGGCACCTTGTATGTGTGGTGTATAGTGGCACCCCTTGTATGTAGTATAGTGGCACCCTTGTATGTGTGGTGTATAGTGGCACCTTGTATGTGTGGTGTATAGTGGCACCTTGTATGTGTGGTGTATAGTGGCACCCTTGTATGTGTGTGGTGTATATGGCACTTGTATGTGTGGTATAGTGGCAACCTTGTGTATGGTGTATAGGGCACCCTTTGATGTGTGTGGTGTATAGTGGCACCCTGTATGTGTGGTGTATAGTGGCACCCCTTGTATGTATGGTGTATAGTGGCAACCTTGTATGTATGGTGTATAGTGGCACCTTTGTATGTGTAGGTGGCACCCCTTGTATGTGTGGTGTATAGTGGCACCCCTTGTATGTGTGGTGTATAGTACCCTTGTATGTGTGTGGTGTATAGTGGCAACCCTTGTATGTATGGTGTATAGTGGCACCTTGTATGTGTGGTGTATAGTACACCTTGTATGTGTGGTGTATAGTGGCACCCTGTATGTATGGTGTATAGTGGCAACCCTTGTATGTATGGTATAGTGGCACCCTTTGTATGTGTGGTGAGAATAGGCCCCCTTGTATGTGTGTGTGTGGTGGAGCCTTGTATGTATGGTGTAGTGGCACCCTTGTATGTATGGTGTATAGTGGCAACCCTTGTATGTGTGGTGTATAGTGGCACCCCTTGTATGTGTGGTGTATAGGCACCCTTGTGTGTGTGTATAGTGGCACCTTGTATGTGTGGTGTATAGTGGCACTGTGTAAGTGGCCCTCGTACATGTGTGGTGTATAGTGCCCACCTGTGTAAGTATAGTGGCCCCTGCACATGTGTGGTGTGTGGCACCGTGTAAGTATAGTGTCACCCCTTGTATGTATGGTGTATAGTGGCACCTTGTATGTGTGGTGTATAGTGGCACCTGTAAGTATAGTGGCACCCTTGTATGTGTGGTGTATAGTGGCACCTGTGTAAGTATAGTGGCCCCTGTACATGTGTGGTGTATAGTGCCCACCCTCTATACTTCTGCCCATAGTAAATTAATCTTCCCTGCAGTAATTCTTGAAACGCTTTGTGGTGTTGAAATGAAATAGGAATGTGTATGTAGCTGAGTATAGAGTGTCCAGGTATTAATTAACTTACCTGGCTTATTTACCTTAGTCACGTCACCTGTTGTATCTAGTTCAGTGTTGAGGTGGGAATTTCCTTTGTCTACACCTGTGGTTTTTATTGTACGGTTCCGTTGTAAACATTCTATGGTGGATGTGTTTAAACCATTTGATATTATGGTTGGGTTTAGGTATCATATTATGGTTGAATAGTAGGTTAATGGGTTGAGTTTGGGTTGATTGACATAAGGTATTAGTGTTATGTGTTGAAAATAATGTTCCGTTTAAACCACTATAAGCTAACATTATGGTTGAATTTAAGCCATTACAACATTTATAACATCATATTATGGTTGATTTTAAGCCATGATAACATTCACAGCTCCATATTTGGGTTGATTTTTAAACCATTATAAACTTGAATTATGGTTGAATTTAAGGCATTATAACATTTCTAACACCACATTTTTGGGTTGTGTTGCAGGTTGACGGGCAGAGTTTGTCCGGGTTGAGTAACCACGCTGCGGTGGACGTACTGCGAGCCACAGGTCAGGTAGTGCGGCTCCGTCTGGCTCGTTATCTGCGTGGCCCCAAGTACGAGCAGCTGCAGCAAGCCATCGCCAACTCAGAGCTCAAGACCACCCCTACCACTCCTAACCCACCTAGGGCTCCTTGAGTACCAACCCCCACCTCTTGGTTTTGAGTCTTGATTAGTCTTTAAGTCTTACGAGGTTAAATCGACGAAAAATGAGGCCAGAGTCTTAATTAGTCTCTAGTCTTGATTAGTCTTTAAGTCTTACACAAAATCGACCATAAAGAAAGAGCTTTTTTTTTCTACTTCGTTAAATCTTATACGAGTGTTGTAGAGTAATTTTTTCCAACGTGTATCATAATAAGTAATATTTTACGTATTAACGAAGGCAGTTAATAGCAAAGGTAATAGCTGACAAGTACAGTTAATAGCGAAGGTAATAGCTGACAAATACAGTTAATAGCGAAGGTAATAGCTGACAAATACAGTTAATAGCGAAGGTAATATTTGACAAATACAGTTAATAGCGAAGGTAATAGCTGAAAAAGACACTTAATAGCAAAGGTAATAGCTGGATGCCTTAGACGTGATTAAAAGTCTTGGCGAATTTTAAGGTATAGAAAATCTGTTTGAAAGTAAAATGTTAAATAGTTTGGAACTTTTGTGCTTCAAAGTTTGGACTACCTTTAGGTGGCGGTGAGACGACAAAGTTTGCAGAGTTTTAGATCAAACGGGTTTAGTCTCCCTTGATGTTGGCTGTCGTGCCATGGGTTCCTATTGGTCGTGCCATGGGTTCCTATTGGTCGTGTCATGGGTTCGTATTGGTCGTGTCATGGGTTCTCTTATTGGTTATGTCACGGGTATTCATTGGTTGTCGTGTAATGGGTTGTTCATGGGTTTTTATTGGTTGTGTCATGGGTTTCTATTGCTATTGGTAATATTAGTTGTAGTTTTAGTAGATAATAACATCTAAAAATATGACTATACGATAACTAATCTCTCTCTCTCTCTACAAGAAGTAGCTACGGACCTAAATATATATACAGTATATTTTTTTTAGGAATTTTAATTTATTTTTTCATTAATATTTTTTTTTTCGTGTTTGTTGGTTGGCGGATTTTATATTTTATTATTATTATTATTTTTTTTTTGCGGGTCATAAAAAAATATAGAGCCATTGACTTCGACTACACTATTTTGAAGGGGTGATAAAACCTTTTTTTTTAATTAGTAAGCGGAAATATAATTGGAGGGGAGGATAGGGGGAATGGGAGTGGTTAAATTGGTATAGAAATGGGGGTAGGGAGGTAATAGGGGAGGGTGAGAGATATGGGGAAGGAGGGAATGGAGAGGTATGGGGGAAGGAGGAATGGGGAAGGAGAGGTATGGGGATATAGAAGGGGGTTTGGGGTGTGAGTAGTTAAGGAAATGGGAATGTGGTGGAGGAATGGTCATTCATGATTGAAGGAATGACGGAAGGAAGTAAAAACGAATAAAGGAAGGAAGGAAGGAAGGGTCAAAGCCATGGTGATGTTGAATGAATGAAGAAAGGACGGAATGAAGTAACAATGAAGGAAGGAAGGAAGGAAGGGTCAAAGGACGGACGCTGAATGCATGACCCAAGCCACGTTTTCAATCTATACTGGCCATAAATTGTGGGCCGCTTCACTAGAAAATCCAGCAATTTGTCGACGCCACTACACACACACATACACACACACACCACAACAAAAACACACACACACACACACACACACACACACACACACTAAGTTCGTGTATTCATTATTTTTGTTGAATTTTGCATAAGTTGTAATTAATCTTATAGATGATGGTGAAAATGGTGATGATTATGATGAGGAGAGGATGATGATGACGACAATAATGATGGTGACGATAGTGACGATGATGATGATGGTGACAATGATGATGATGATGATGGTAATAATAATTATATCAAACGTGAACCAAAAAAGACCGTTTTCCTCAGACCAGATCAGACCTAACCAGACCTCTTGCTCGCTGGTCCGTAACTAATGACCTCTTGGCCGCCATCTTTGTTTATGTCGTAAGTTAAGTCAGGCCAGCAGGATGGTTCTCACGGTCTCAGTTTGGAAATTCTGGAAACAGTATGTGTAGTTGAGGCTGGCCATTGACCAATAGCTTTTCAATATAGTTATTACCTCGCTTGTTATTGGTTTGTGTGTCGGATTGTGTCGGGTTCTCATAGTGGGTAGTGCAAGGGGGGCTGACCAATAGTTTTCCAGTACGTTTGTGAACCCGTTTACAATTGGTTGCTTTCTCTGTTGCTTTTAGTTTAGGTCAGTAACCAATAGTTTTTTCCAGTTGGTGTAAAATCGGTTTTTATTGGTTTGTTTGCTGCTTCGGGTGCTGGTGAATGACCAATAGTTTTGCAGTACAGTTAAAAGCTCGCTTACAAATGGCTGATTTCTGGCAACGAGTTATGTAAGTAGCCGAACCAACAGCATGTTAGTTTATATAAACCCTCGATTTTGATTGGCCTTACTTATCTTACTGCAGGTGTGAACTGACCAATAGTTTTCCAGGAAATACTTCAACTCATTTCTACTTGGTTAACTCATATACCCCGAAATGTGAAATAACCAATAAAATCCTAGCATACACGTAAACTCATTTCTGATTAGCTGGTCTTAAAAAAACAAATAAAAAAAAACATTGAATCATTTACATTTAGTTCAGTGAATCGGGTGTTTGTGTATAACGAACAAACACATTTCTCTGTTTTTCGCCGAACGTAAATAAAGGAAAGAGTAAACACTGTATTTTGAGAAGGGTGAACAGAAGGAGAGGAGCGCGGTGTCCAGGTAGGGAATAAATCCGGATTTAGTGAATAGATCAAAGTGGATGTTTTCGTTTGTGTAAGAATATATATCATTTTTTTTAGGAGATTAGTTGAGTGATGTAACTTCAAATGTAGATTGATAAGTTGACTAAAATAGATAGATAGATATAGTTGATAGATGGATAGATATATATAGCTGATAGATCGATGAAAGGAAGAGTATAAGATAAACGGGTGAAGAGAGACAGCTAGATAGATAGATAGTCAAAGAGAATAAATGAGTAGATAGATAAAAATTAGAATTAATAATAACAGCAATTAACGCTGCCTTGTACTCGAAAATTTAATAACAGTAACAATAATAACAATAAATAACAATAATAATAGTAGAAATAATAATAATGATAAATACAGTGCAATAATAATAATAATGATAATAAAGATAGTGTGTAATAATAAGTAATAATAAAACTATAAATAATAATAATAATAATAATAACGCAACTAATAATAAAAAAAAACAATAATCTTGTCAAAAATATTTAAAAAAATTTCAGCGGTGGTCAGAAAGTCGCCTTGCGGTGCCCTAACTTACCCCGTGTTATATACTGCAAGTTAGGGGGGTCATGGACTACCTCTCTTAGGGGCCATTCTTACGCCTCCCTGCCACGCCACCCATGGATTTTTACAGTTCTTTTCCATTTTCTTTATTAGTTCTCTATGTATTTTCTTGTCTTCGGTCTTTTCTCTTCCCTTCGTTTTTTGTCTCTTTCTTTCGCTTATTGTTTCCCTTTCGTTTGTTTTGTTTTTGTTGTTTATTCGTTTTTGTTTGTTATGTGAAACCTCCTTATAACGGACTTCTCTTTCCGTGTAATTCGTTAAATGGAGGTTTTACATCTAATGGACCCTCGATATAATGGACTTTCATATCTATACAGTTCGTTAGATGGAGGATTTATAGTTATTCATTTTTTATTTTGTTATTTTGTTATGAAGAGATTTGTTCGTTCGTCTGTACGTCCGTCTCAGCAAAGTTTGTCAGCAAGATTACATAAAAAGTATCAAACGAAAAGTAATGAAAGTTTGTAGGTTATTTTATATACTTCCTGAGATCAACTGATTAAATTTTCAAAGTTTTAATGGGAGTATTACCATAGACTAAAGTCTAATTTTCCATTTTTACTCCCATACTTCTGCCTCGATCACACCATTAAATTTCCACTTCGATGTTTTCAATTTCCCCTTCTGTCATAATTCGTTATTGTTTTTATTTTCCTTTTCTCTTCCATTTTCCCATCACAACAGTTTAATAACTTTCCTCTCTACTCTCACTTTCCATTTTCCAATTTTAGAGCAGTTTCCCTCTCGGCTTATTTCCATTTTCTTTTTATTTCTTTACTCGTTTTGTTCCTCCTGGTTTTGCATTGTATAAACAAGCGTGTGTGTGTGTGTGTGTGTGTGTGTGTGTGTGTGTGTGTGTGTGTGTGTGGCTGGCTGATGCCCATTACATTTGACTGTGTGTAATCTATTATGGTGCGTGTACACAGAACTTGAGTTTTGTGTGTACATACTAGAGGTGTGTGTACATAGACCTTGGGCGACCTCTTGCCTCTGCTCGTCTCACTAAACACACCTGGAAGGTCATTATTAATTTGGTCTCCTCTCTCTCTCTCTCTCTCTCTCCGGAGCGATTGGATGGGTAGAGATGTGAGGATTGGATAGCTAAGACATTATCCATGGCTTAGCTAGGATGTGTCAAGTGGTTTAATTTAGGTTTAATTTGGTTAGGATTGGTTTCGTTTGGTTTAGTTAGGTTAGGGAGATAAGGGAGAATAAAGATAAGGAGGAGGATGAAGGGAGATTAAAGTGGGAGGATAAATGGAAATTAAAGAGAGTAAGAAAAAAGACTGAGAAATAAAGGGAGACTAAAAGGGGCGAAATAAGGAAAATAAAGAGGGAAATAAAGATGGAGGATAAAGGGAGACTAAAGAGGGGAGAAATAAGGGAAAATAAAGAGAGGGAGAGTAAAGATGGAGGATAAAGGGAGACTAAAGAGGGAGAAATAAGGGAAAATAAAGAGAGGAGAGTAAAGAGATGGAGGATAAAGGGAGACTAAGAGGGGAGAAATAAGGAAAAATATAGAGAGTAAAGAGATGGAGGATAGGGAGACTAAAGGGGAGAAATAAGGAAAATAAAGGAGGAAAGAGATGGAGGATAAAGGAGACTAAAGAGGGGAGAAATAGGAAAATATAGAGGAGAGTAAAGAGATAGAGGATAAAGGAGATTAAGGGGAGAAATAGGGAAAATAAAGGAAGT